ATAACCAGGGCTCCATCTATGATACGGATGACTCTTGCATAGAAAGATCCATTGGTTCAATGCAATTACCCCGGCTAGCTCTTCATGACAACCTTTCAATCCCCACTATCATTGTGTTTTATTCAAATAATGGATCATTAATGTCATGGTTGGATGTCTTGTAGAAACACTTGCTTATTTGTAGACGGATTAAGTCTCGGTACAGACAATTCTTGTAAACTTCTAGAAAGGCATCAGAATCATGTGTTTAATTCTCACAGTTCATCTTTATCTTCCGATTAACTTGCTGTTGAAATGGAAGTTAATTGAGTTATAAAGTACAAACATAACAAAATGGATACTCTATTACATGTCCTAATCCTTGAGCTAAAGGGTGGCTGTTTCATTTTGAGAATCTTATATTTTTTCTAGAAAACTCTTGAAAAGAATCTTCTATTCTAATCAAGAAAACCCCACCACTCCAAACACTCAAAATTTCCAAAGTCACTTGATCTCTATTACTGCTTACTTCAAAAACACCAATCATAGTTCCCTGTGGATTCGACTCCGGACTTCACCGAATTATTACTACAGCTTGACCGCCTGCACTTGGGTGTACACATTTCGGATCAAGTCAATAAGGAAACAATTAGATAATAACAGGAGGCTGTTACGTGACAAAGAGTCATGTTCAAGGCATAAAATTCTTAATCAGCCAAGATCTTTTCCTAAAATTAAGGAGAGTTCCTTGGATAAAAAACGAGGATCTCAGGGTAGATCTCATAGAACTAGGAACGACCCTATAAATATTATGCAACTCTCCCAAAGGAGGGGGGGGCGAGTAACATATACTTTATCTTGTAAACCTACTAAACGAGGAACAAAGTAAAAAGGAACAAGAGTCTCCATTGAAGAGTAGATTAGTCAAGCTCCTGAACTGGTGAACCACTATAATTCTACTGTGTCAATCCCCAAATTCTCCATAGAGTGCTCTTTTGAACCTTGTAGCTCAAATCCTAATAGTCAAATACTGATCATTCCATCTGCTCATTACCATAAAATTATATCACATTAAGTTACAACATCAGACTTAATTGATATATGTGATTTATGGGTGAAAGATGGGTCATTTTGAACCCTACGTCATTGATGAGTGCAAGAAAGTGCATTCTAAATACCCTATTATTGGATTAAAATGTTAAAATATAAATATAAATAATTAGATATAATTTATATTATTGAATTTAATATCTATTCACATTGAGATATATTTGAGCATGATTTTATAATATTTTAAATCTTAAATATTGTATTATTGGTTGGTGAAAAATAATTTACAATTGGACTTTACATTTAATATTTTTGGAACTTTATTATTCGGGTTTTATATTTATTTTTATTTTGATGGCAGCTCATGGAGTAAAAAAGCTGAAATTGATGCATCTTTCACGTAGGCCTCACACTCATAATTTTCATTGGACTTTATCTTTCTCAAATTACACAAGAGTTGGGCTTTAGAGGCTGAAACGGAAAAGCTGGAATAAAGAGGGGTTGAAGTGAAAAGGGCTAGAATAAAGAAAGAGGAAAATGTAATTTTTAGAAAAGAGTTTTGACTTTAAAAACCTATTCTTTTTATTTGTGCTGGGCGGCTGGCATTTTGTTGATGTTTTCTCTTGGGAGTGGCGGCTGGAACAAAGAAAAGAAAAGGAAAAAAGATGCCAGCAGCTGGGCAGAAGAAGACGGACGCAGATTAGAGCAGAAATAATTCCGATGACTATCGGTTTGTTTTATTTCTTTGGGAGATTTTTGTTGTCCATCTTATTTATGAGTAATTAAATTCTCAAGTAAGGTTAGGGATGAACTTATACAGTAGATGGTATTTTATTTATTTTTAATTTATGCAATTGATTTTTAATTACTAAAACTCCTTTGCTTTTATTATTCTTAATTTATTGTTGATATTTTCTTCTCCGAATAGTCATAAAATTTATTTTGTTTATGAATTCAGTCATGCTTTTTCTATTGAATTGATTAATTCTTTGATTATGTTTGGATCAATTATTTATCTATATTGATTTAATTCTTTGCTGTAATATTAATTTCTTGAGTATATTGTCGTCGTTGAATTTTTTCAATAGTGTTATTAATTTACGTATTTTAAAAGTGATAAATGATTTTTCAAAGGGTTACATTGGATTTAATCTTAATTTATAAATCTATATCTTCCGGTTGAAAATTTTGGAAATTAAATTCTCAATTGAGTTATTCAATGAATTAAGAATAATTAAAATATCAGGTTTGTGCAAGGGATTCCCGACGCTTTACTGTTTCTCAAATTTGAATACTTTTTCCGTTAATCACTTTATTTTACTTTAATTTGTATTTAAAATTAATCTTTATTATCCAACAACCATTTAATATTTTTCTTTAATTTCTTTGTTCATTTTATTATTCTTTTAATTTGTCTCTTTGTGGAATCGACACCCCAAAACTGTGTTACAATTTTCGCGTTATTCTTTGAGCGTAATCATTGAAGTTATTCGTTATGAAAACAAAAAGATTCATATCAGGTTGACCTTCGGAGGCCATCAACATAACATAATTTAAAGGTAGGATTACACTACAATACCGTCGACTTACTTTTTGGTACCATACCATAAAGTAAGTTGGTGTATTTATTTTTATTTTACACGTGTCTCTTTAAAAGAATAAATGATCGGTGAAACCGGCATATAGTTGAATGAAAAAAGTTGTTACCAAAAAAGTGGTAATTAGTCCAAAAGTTGTATCCTAACCTAAAAACTTGTAATTTCAAATAATTTGATGAATTAAATATTAATGAATTAAATATTAATTTGGTGTTAATTTGATAAATAAATATTTTTTGGACTCTATTAACGAATTTCAACACCTGTTGGACTCTTCTGTGTTATACTTCAGCTGCATTAATGACGATGTAGATCTAGCTGGAATTTGCTTCAACTACTCAGGGATCAATGTCAGCTGGACTGCTTGGGCAGTTACAAGTAGCTGCTCACACAAATTAGTCGGACACTACTAATTTCAAAGGCATCAAGCTTAGGATAATTTTATTTAATTATTTATTGTACTAAGCATGTATTTTTGCTTTATTTTATTTTATTACTCTATGTAACTAGATTGAATCGAGAGATAAGGTACATACGTTTTTCCTTGGTGTAATTTTATTTTGAATCAATAAAACTCCCTCATACTGTCGATGTTATATAAAAAATATATATTTTTTGTCTAAATTTAATTTTAAATAGTTGATTTGGAATGTTAATTTGATGAATTTTATTAGATGAAATTGAATGTTAATTTGATGTTGATTTAATGAATTAAATGTTTATTGGATAAAATTGTATATTATTTTGGTGTTGATTTGACAAATTAAATTTTTATTGGATAATTTTAGATGTTAATTTAATGAATTGAGTGTTAATTTGATGAATTGAATGTTGATTTAGTGTTAATTTGATGAATTGAAGGTTAATTAGTTGAATTGAATGTTAATTAGGTTAAATTATGTAAATTTGATGAATTAAATATTAAATAGATGAAATTACATGTTACTTTGATTTTGATTTAATAAATTAAATCTTTATTGGATGATTTTAAATGTTAGTTAGATTAATTGAGTGTTAATTGAAAGGATTTGAATATAAATTGGATGAATTGAATGTTAATTTGTTGTTAATTTGATTAATTGAATATTAATTGGATGACATTGAATGTTAAGTTGATGAATTAAATATTTATTGGTTGAATTTGAATATTAATTTGATGAATTAAATGTTTATTAGATGAAGTTGAATTTGATTTGAAGAGTTGAATGTTAATTTTGTGTAAATTTTGATGAGTTGAATATTAATTGGATTATCAGTTTGGTTTTGATTTGATAACTTGAATCTTTATTGGATAATTTTGGATGTCAAATGTTTATCTGATACTATTTGAACACAAAATTAAATATTTTAAAGACCAAACTAATAAATATGTATAATTTTAAGGATGAGAATGTAAGTCTTCAAATACACAATTGTTATTTTTGACCCAATCTTTATAACTCACTGAAGATTGTATTCAAATACACAATTGTTATTTTAAATGAGTGTTACCCTTGCCCTCCTCTATTTTGCTTTTTTCTTTTGAAGTAAAATATACTTATTTTTATAGAGGTAATAAAGGCTCTATCGAGTTTAGAGTTATATCCACGTAATAATTAGAGTATTCTCTTTGTATAAAATACAATAATGGTTCAAATCATTCAATCTTAGATTTTAGTATGGATTAATTGCATTGAAGACCCCTAAAGTATAGAATTTGTCTCAGGTTCCCAATGTTTAAATTATATTATTTTGGTCCTTAAAATGTTAAATACATTTCTGTATGGTCCCTCAAGCAAATAATGTCCAAATTGCTAACGATTTTTTATCATAAACTTGTCACGTAATACTTAAATATACACAAAAAAATACTTTGGATAATTCTTGATCAAATTCTACTTAAATTTTAGTTAAATTACTATCAAAATTATACAGTTTTGATACTGATCTATTTAAGTTTTGGTAAAAAATTACCTATATTATACATTTTTTTCAAAAGCTACCCAAATTTTGTTTAAAAGCTATCAAAATTCTTTTTTTTTTTTGTCCATATTTATGTATTATGTGATAAATTTATGATAAAAAATTGTTAGGAATCTGGACATTGTCTATTTAAAAGACCATATAGAAATATATTCAATAACCAAAATAATACAATTGAAATATTAGAAATCAAAATGAAACAAACCACGTACTTTGGGGACCTTTAATACAATTAACCCTCTTATAGTATACAAAAATATTTCACAATACATATTATTTTGTCCAAACCAAACATTTCAGCCAGCCACATACATTTTAATTGAGAGCTTTTATGCCACCAATCACTGAGTAACAGACTAAACTCTCCGTCATAATGAAAAGGCTCTCTCTCTCTCTCTCTCCCTCTGCCACATCCACCATCGGAGATCCATACAAGCCTGCTGACCTTTGCATCCCATAGTGTCCATGGTAGAAATATGTTCCAGCCTATACCACAACATACCACACGTAAAGCTCCATATATACAACAAATATAATACATACTGAAAAAAGATGTACATTATTTGCCCTAGTTATAAAATAAAATTGAGAAGAAAAATTCACCAATAATTCAGAGAGAGAGATAGAATTTTGTGTGTGTGTGTGTGTGAAGAAAGCAATGGCTTTAATGATTGTTTTCTAGAGTAATATAAGCATATATGAGCAATATAAGCAGTTGTGCCTCAATGATTGTTTTCTAGAATTCATCTTTTTGACACCAAAAGCTGATATGTTTACAAATAATGATCAGATTAGGCATCTGATAACAAAGGTTTTTAAACTGCTAAGCATGCAAACATGTTTGAACATTTCTTGTCCTTGTCCTTTTATCATCGTGTTTATTCTTTTGCAGAGGAAACTACTCAAACTTCCCTCCACGGAAAGAGAAACAAGGGAAAAATGATCTTCCTTCAGTAATGACAATGAACAAGGAACTTTCCGGAGAATAAACAAGGAATCAAAATAGAAAGCACTTAACAGTAAAAACCTATCCTCGTTCCACTAACAAACTGAAGCCCAAAAGGGAACAAAATTCCCCCTTAGTTGTAAGGAATTCAAATTCCCTTTGGCTAAACCATCTGCCTAAGCATTAGTCTTGAGATCTAACTCATATCCAACAGCCAACTCAAAATAAAAATCTCCAATTTCAGGTATCTAGTGCTTTGCTACAACCAACCTAAAGTGATTCATGTACAACTTTGGGAAGAGACATGGCTGAACCAAACTACCGATGCTACCACTTTCATTTGGTCCAAAGCTAGGCAGCACCTACATGAATTAGTCCGACAATATAAATTTCATTTCAATATTTGAAAAAATATTGCAGCAGTAATGGAAAGAATTACCTAAATCTCTGGCTGTGGTACATAGTTTCCAGCAGGAGTTAAAAGTAAAATCGAGGAATTACCAATGCGATTTCAAGCGCTTTTGGATCTCTAAATGTGACAAATGCAGCCTTCGATTGCCCAGAGTTGCTGCACTCCATACATAAACAACAGCCAAATTCAAGCCTTAATCTCAAAACCTTAAAATACACCACACACACATATACATAGAGTATAAAGATGAAAAAACAACGAACTGGTGGATCTCACTGTATTCGATTTCATCGAAAAATGAGAAAAACTCGTGAATTTCTCTCTCACTGGCTAGATCTGATACTTGACCTACTTATACTGCTCTTGTCTGAAACAATACAATGAAAAATCACAACAAATCCAAAACATACTATTCAAAGAAATTATAAATACACATATGAAGATGAAGCACCACTATAAACTCACCTGCATTGTCTTACACAGACCTACCGCCTCTCTCTTTCTCTCTCTCTCTCTCTCTAACACACACACACACACACACACACACACACAAGTCGGTGAGGAGTCGTTGCCTGAGAGAGCTGGTGAGGAGTTGTCGCCTGAGAGAGCCGGTGAGGAGTTGTCGCCTGAGAGAGCCAGTGAGGAGTCATAAGAGAAGTTGAGAGAATGAATTAGGAAAAAATTTGGGTTTATGTTGGGGGAGAAAAGTTTTTTTTTATTATTTTTGATTAAAAATTTGTGGCGTTTGGCTTAAACGCCGGAAATTACGCAATTTTTTTTTATTAGGTTTATGTTGAGGGAGAAAATTTTTTTATTATTATTTTTAATTAAGAATTTGTGGTGTTTGATTAAACGCCCGGAATTAAGCGAAAAAAAAAAATTAGGTTTATGTTGGGGGAGAAAATTTTTTTTTTATTTTTTTAAATTAAGAATTTGAGGAATTAAACGAAAAAAAAAATTATTAGGTTTATGTTGGAGGAGGAATTTTTTTTTTTTATTATTTTTAATTAAGAATTTGTGGCGTTTGACTTAAACGTCAGAAATTAAGTGAAATTTTTTTTATTATTTTTATTAATATTTTTTGGCGTGTAGAAACAAACGCCAATTTTAATGACATTTAAATTAAACGCCAAAAATTAAATGCTGGATTTTTCCATAATTATTGTGGTGTACCTTATCTACTTTGAACCTGTAGACAAGGGTTTCTCCAGGTTTAATTGCACACTGGGAGATGGATGCAGTTCCATCAGACCATGGCGTCCTAAACTGAAATTATACAAAAGAATAGAAGTATGGTTAAATACACCAGAAGTATGGTTAAATAACCTTGTCCAATTCACAGGCAAAGATGCCTCCTTAAGTACCAAAATAGAAATACACACAGGAAGGGAGAGGTGTAAAATGCTACCAGAACGAAAAATAAGAACCAAATAATGTAACTGTTTTCATGCATTGACTATTGAAGAAAAAAAAAATTGTTTAATATTCAAATTTTGAACAACCATTTGAGTTTGAGCTTAAGACTTATGCTTTTGAACTAAGGTTAAATCCAACTTGTATATAAGCTCATATTTTAATAACCTTGAGATAGTAAATTAAGTTTGAATTTTAAATGAATGAAGTTGGACGAAAAGCATTGTCATATCTCTCCCATACAATTGAGTCTCATGTTTTAGGGTTAATGTAACAGACGGAGAGAGAGAGAGAGAGTACAACCTGTCAGATTCCATGCCAATGAATGACTACACCTTCAGTGTCAAGCTTGTTCGTGAGTTTCACAACGATTTGGGACGGAATTAACATTTTGTCATTGGAGCTCAATTTCACCAAAATTCATTCCAATAACATAAACTTTATTATACTTGTTAGATCCTAATTTATAGCGTCTAAACTATATCAAAACTAAAAAAAAACACCAAGGCAAACACTAATCAAGCATATATTATATATAAACAACACATCAAAAAAAAAAAACTGCAAACAATCACTAAATCAAAAACATATCATAGTTTATGTCCAAAAATGTACTGCACAATTTAATAAATATTATACTCTTCCCAAATCTAAAAAATTAACCAAAATTTCAAACTTTATTGATAATTGATAATAAAACAACTTCATTCATTTTTACATTACATCAGTAATTTTGTACTTCAATAGCGAAACAAATCATCGTTGAAGTCCTTTTAAGCTCCTTTAGACTTTTCAACGTTTAGTTTCTTTGCTTGTTAGAAAGTGTTTATTAGGTATAATCAAAAAAGTAGTAATTTTTATTAACTTTTTACCGCTGACTACCAAGAACTTTTATGTTAATATTATCAAGATTTTTCCTCTAAAATTCTTTGATTATTTTATTGGGATATGGGTAATAATTAAAAAAAGGCATTATTTTATTAGTATCTCATTTATCAAGAGTCATTTCATTACATGGACAATATTTTTATGGAATCATTATAGGTATAAAAGACTAAAAGTAATGGCAAAAATTATCTAAGGGCCAATGTCTTACCGGGCGACCCAACATAAACGGCAGGCCTTAAGTAAAAATTTTACACGGGACACTATTAATATTTCGTGTATTAATATATATATACTATTTTTAATTTTTTATTTATTTAAAAATTATTTTTCTTACTTTTTGAGATGCAAAAATATTGATCAAGTTCTTATATTTAAGTTTTGTCAACAATTCCTTCCCAATAGATAATATAGTTAATTCATTCAATTTTTCTTGTGACATAGTTGACCGTAAATGAGAATGTATTAATTTAATTTTTCAAAAGTTCATTTTTGCTAAAGCAACTACTATAAGTATGATTAACAATATTCTATAAGCTATGCATGTAGAGAGACAGAGCATTAGAGATGCAAAATTGTTGAGTTGGATTAAGTTTCATATTTATAATAGAGTTTTTTTTTTAGGGATTTTATTGTGTTTAACAAAATAAAGAGTAATTTTGGACCTGATAAAACTAAACTCTTAAAATTTAGAGCCCTAAAAATTTGGATCCTATCTGAAATTCAGAATAAAAAAAAAATGGACCTAATAAAAGGGTAAATTTTTTGTGGGGCTAGACAATCATCTTAGTTAGGGGTGTAACTTGGGCGAGCCAACTCGAATTCAACCCGAACCCAACTCGAAAAAAATAGGGCATGGGTTAAGATTTTTAATACGTCGGTTGGGTTTGGACAAAAAAACCTCAATCCGAATTGAATTTGGGCAAGTCTCGAGTTAAGACTAATTAGTACTTAAATTTAACATATTGCTATATCTTTTTAGGACTAATTATACTTTCATGGAGTTTAAGTGATGACATTTTAGGTCCTAAAGTGAACAAAGGCTCAAGAACAACAAATATCACACTTGAGTGTAATACCAGTGCATAAGGGAACAAAATTGGAGAAGGTTGGAACAAAGCAAGAACATTCGAACGCCAACTCACATTCGAACGTCCACTTGAACTATAAGGAGACCAGACTGCTGAGACATGGCGTGTTGCAGGCAAGAAAAAAAACTCTGAGGTACTTGAATACCATGTTCGAACGTCCACTTGATTTGATTGAAGACCAAAGTGATGAGTGCAAAACGCCAAGTTCTGCATGAAGTGTGGAAGTGGGTTTCCACAGAAGACCAGCGACCTCTTGAGTTATATGGTCAAACTCCATCTGGCGTTCGAACGACCCTAAAGCAAAGACAGAAGACACGTTCGAACGTCAGACCACGTTCAAACGTCCATAAAGCCAAAACAAAAATAACGTTCAAATGTCAACTCACGTTCGAATGTCCTCCATAGACTGCCTGTAGAGTAGTTGGTTTTCACTTAAACTGGGCGGCATACATTATTCATCCTCTCTTATCTTCCCCCCTCCCTTTCTTTTTCCTATAAATACTCCCATTAGGGGAGCTTCATGGGTGCAAAAAAAAAATTTCTCTTGTAAAGTAAGGAGCTAGAGCTTGGTTAGTAGGCCTAGACTACACCAAGAACTTGTAAGGAGTTTGTATGGAGGCTTAGACTCCCACTCATTTTGATTAATTTTAGATGTATGTTATATTTACTTGTATCAAGAGAGTTAGTTCATTTCTTAGTTGAGGAAGCAATCCTCCATCTTTTGGTTGAGGAAGCAACCCTCCACTTGTTGGTTGAGGAAGCCACCCTCCAAGTAGTGACTAGTTTTCTCCTGCTTTCATTGTTTATGTCTTTCACTTCTATTGCTTGAGCTTCCTTCTTCCTTAGAGGAGTGAAACTCTTCCATTTTTCTAGAGTTTTACCAAAACCGTGAAGGGTGTGATTCACTTATTCTTTGGTGAAGATCGGCTCTTCGCTTATTGTACTTTACCTTGTAAGTTTTCTACTTGGAGGGATGAGTATCACTCACTTTTCTAGCTTTACCCAAGTCATGAAGAGTAAGTAGTTCCTCATTTACTCTTTAGTAAGAGGTGATGAACATGTATTGATTATCCGGAAGCTATATTTGTGCATTTTCTTTATGTTTTAATGCTTTATATTTCACTTATTGAAGGATTGAATGCATTTAGCAAAGCTAAGGTACTTTGTATAACTATGGGTTCTTTTCATGTCACGGATGACTCTTGCATGGAAAAACCTGTTGGTTCAAGGCAAGTACCTCAGCTAGATCTTCATGACACATTTTCATCTTCACTATTATTGTGCTTTATCTAAAGAATGAAACATTAACGCCATAGTTGGATGCCTTGTAGAAACACTTACTTGTTTGTAGACGGGTTAAATCTCAGCATAGACAATTCTTGTCAACTTCTAGAAAGGCATCAGAATCATGTATTTAATTCTCACAGTCCATCTTTACCTTCCGATTAACTTGTTGTTGACACGGGAGTTAATTGAATTATAAAGCACAAGTATAATAAACCGGATGATTAACTACATGTTCTGATCCTCAAGCTAAAGGGCGACTGTTTTACATTTGAATTTATCTTATATTTTGTCTAAAAAACTCTTGGAAAGAATCTTCTATTCTATTTAAGAAATCTCACAACTTCAAACTCTCAAAGTTTCCAGTTACTTGGTCTTTATTACTGCTTACTTCAAAACACCAATTATAATTCCATGTGGATTCGACTTCGGACTTAACCAGATTATTACTACAGCTTGACCACTTGCACTTGGGTGTACACATTTCGGATCAAGTCAGAGGCCTCAAGTTGTTAGGTTCAACCAGAATATTAAAATCAGGTTGAACCCGAATATACATAAATATATTTAACTAGGGTTAGTATTTTTTTTCACTCTTTAGAGTTCAAACTTTCACTTCACTTCAACTATTAACCCTTGTGCCTCCATCACTCTCAGATCTCTCTCTCACTTGTCATTCTTCCCTCTCTTAGCCTTCCTCTCTCAATCGTCACTCGTCTAAGTCGTTTCAAACTCTGAGTCTCCCTCTCTCACTCATCATCACTCCTCCATTTCTCACTCTTCACTCCTCCCTCTCTCTTCATCTGCGTCTCGCCTTTCATCTCAGATCACTTGAAAAAATCAGATCTACACTTCAAAAAATCAACAAGAATTAAGTAATCCAAGTCAACCCGCTTTTTAACTCAAAATCAGCCAAATTAAGTAACCCAAATTCAACCCGAACCCGCCCGAATTAAACTAGGGCAGTACTCGGGTTGAGTACCTCGGGTTGAGGTAGGGTTAGGGTTAAAGGCTATATATCTAAGATTACATTAGAGTTGACCTCTCAACCTGCCCAACCCATCCGAGTTGCACCCTTAATTTTAGTGATCTATGCCTAGAACCGGTCTTTTGCCTTACAAAAGTGATGCTCCCTACTATAAATATATTATAGGGGTTCTTGAGCATCGACAGGGGGGGCATAGCCCCTAGGCCTCATGCTAGTTTCGTCTCTCACAACGATAGTATCTTTGACATGAGCACGAATGGTCAGTCAGTGAAACTGGCCATTGATCCCTATGACCACATTCTCGAGGCCAAGGGTAGAGTAAAAAAATTGTGTGAGGGTGGGCAAAAATATTTTAAAAAATTAAATTTTTATTCTTACAATCCATAGAAACATGTTAATAATTTATCTTTAATTATATCTTATTTAATACTTAAAATTTCATTAAACTAATAGATCAAAAATTGGTAAGCCTAGTATATACCAACGATTGCTGTAAAAAAAGACTAATTATATCATTTTACAAAATATAAGCTAATTAAAATCATTTAAATTGATTTGGGTGAATTTTTGAACTTTGAAACTACTGCATAACAACTTTATTATTC